ACGACCTCCCCCCACCACACGACCCCCCACACCACACAACGCCCTCCCCCACCACACGACCCCCCGACCACACGACCTCCCGACCACACGACCCCCACCGCCCACCTTGATTCACACGCTCCCCCTGACTAAGGCGCTTCACAACCCCCGTCCCTGATCCCAACATCCCCAAGAACCCTCCCCCCCCCCTGACTTAACACCTCCCCTGGTCCACACTCTTCCCACAAACCCCCTTAACCTAACCTCTCCTCAAACCCCCCTAATCCCATCGTTCCCTGACTCCCCCAGCCCACGTGTTCAGTATAAGGCATGGTAGCACAAGGGGGAGGGGACATGTTCAGGGTAAAGCAAGGAAGAACACTGGGAACATGTTCAGTATGAGGCAGGGCAGAGCAGTATGAAGCTGGGCAGAGCAGTATGAGGCAGGGCAGGACAAGGGGACGCAGTATAAGGGAGGGAGGAAGCGGCCGCCATCCACGAAATCAAGAGTCGACGACGCGTCGCGGGAATGTTAGAAAGAGCTGTCTTGGCGCCACATGTCTTGGCGCCAAGTTAACGAGTAATGGTTAGGAATAGAGGGAGAGGTGGACGCTAAAACAGTCGGTGGCTGTTCCACCAGTAGATGTGAGAGAGAAGAGGAGGGCCGGGCGCTGCAGTAGAGAACCGCCGAAAGCTGGTTAGGTCGAGCAAAGGCGTTATAACGCTCGGCCCGCCAAACACATTTCAGGGAGTGTTTTTGCATGTACGTGTACAAACACACACACACACACAGGCCGGTGGCTGACTGGACAGCACGCTGGACGCGTGATCCTGTGGTCCCGGGTTCGATTCCCGGCGCCGGCGAGAAACAATGGGCAGCGTTTCTTTCACCCTGATGCACCTGTTACCTAGCAGTAAATAGGTACCTGGGAGTTAGTCAGCTTCCACGGGCTGCTTCCTGGTGTGTGTGTGGTGTGGGACAAAAAAAATAGTTAGTAAACAGTTGATTGATAGTTGAGAGGCGGGCCGAAAGAGCAGAGCTCAACAACCCTCACGCACAACTAGGTGAATACACATACAACCTTGCGGACAGGGTAGACAACGATGGATTATTTAACACAGGTGGTACACGCACAAGGGGACACAGGTGGAAGCTGAGTACCCAAGTGAGCCACAGAGACATTTAAAAAAACTTTTTCAGTGTCAGAGTAGTTAGTAAATGGAATGCACTAGTGATAGAGCCCAATAGGCTCAGGAATCTATACACCAGTTGATTGACGATTGAGAGGCGGGACCAAAGAGGCAGAGCTCAACCCCCGCAAGCACAACTCGGTGAGTACAACTAGGTGAGTACACGCACTCATAGTGACTCTTAACATTTTCCCGCGCAAGACACTGGAAAGATTGACCAGGTACAGGATAGTGGAGCCTTCAGAAGAGGATATAATTGTCACCTGAGAATCGGCAAGTGATGAGAGCGACGGTCCAACACAACTGTGACAGACCATCTCACGTCAGAAACACTGAAGGAGGCGAGTGCTCTGTACTGCCTGGAGGCCTTTGATAGTCCCCTAAAAAGAGACTTGTCTTTTAAAAAAAGAGAGTGTCAGAGATTGGACGCTATATAGACGCTTGGGGGCCTCAACCTTAGAAAGTTGGGCGTTGCTTCTAGAGGCCAGAAGCCTCGCCCAACTCTCCGAGTCGACACATGGGGGGGGGAGGGGGGGGGCATTGGAGTGTCATAGGTCATTCAGAGTTGGCCTCGGTCCCACATTTAATAAATCGGCATCTATATATCCCCCCCCCCCCCCAGGGCGATTGTCATAAAGTTAAGTCTGTGAATAGAGGTTGTTAATTAAATTATTGAGCAGTTTTTTCAGTTAGTAATATTCAATTTTCTTAGAGAGAGAGAGGAAGGGGGTGAGGAAGACTGAAGGAGAATGGAGGATGTTAGAAGAGAGCGGAGAGAAGGTAGGAGTCGGGGAGAGGTAAAAGAGGAGAGCATGGGAAGAAGTGTGGAGAGGAGAAAAGAGGGATGTATATGGAGAGAAAGGGGAAGGGGGGGATAGGGGTAGCAAGAGAAGAAGGAAGAGATCAGGCCAAAGCCAGGGGTCCCCCATCTAACTGTGCACAAGACCTGGCTTGCCGCAACGGAAAATATTCTAGGCTGACTGGACACAGCACTACCTACTGGGAAGGAGACATGGTGAGAGCCACAATCGTTATGGCGGGAAGCGGCACATGATGCCATAGAGTACTCGGTGCCATGTGACACCGACGAAGGGAAACTCTTACATGTGAGAAAACAAAATCTAATTTAAATGATGCAGAGAATCGTATTAGTGGCCCGAGACATTAGGCTTCCCAAATATGGCAAGAACAAACTGTTCTTGTATGTATGTATATGTGTACTTTTATCTAAATAAAAATTATAACAATTGTTATTAAATAAATTCGACATTATAGCTGTGATAGACTACAAAGAACATAAACTACAAACATTGGTGGAAAGAAGAGATAAATGTTGGCGTAAAAAAAAAAAGGTCCATGCACAAAGTAGACATAGATAGTTCCGTGTAAAGATACGCAATTGTGACCACGTGGGATGTACAGGCCAAGCGGTGATGGAGGTAGATATTTAATTTAGTCTGGGTTCGAGCCCTGGCCAGAAAGGACTGATTGGTCACTAACCCTTAAAGGTCCGCCCCTGTTTGCCCAGTAGTAATTGGAGAACTTGTTTTAAACCTTGTGGCAGGTCGTGTTCCATGAACAACAACTGGCAGGACAGAAAAGCTTGTGTAGACCTGCCTGAAGAAGTCAGAAATAATCTTCTACTGGGCCTACCTGTGCGAGAAACAAAATGTAGAAAATTGACTAAAATGCCACCAAATACTTCGTTGAGAAGAGGCAGGGCCCAAGAGCTATTCCTCACATCGTAAGCACTACAAGGCAAGAACAAGTGCGCGCGCACACGTGGAAAATGTCGTACGTGTACACAGTCGCGAACACCTGTACGTGTACACAGTCGCGAACACCCGTACGTGTACACAGTCGCGAACACCTGTACGTGTACACAGTCGCGAACACCCGTACGTGTACACAGTCGCGAACACCCGTACGTGTACACAGTCGCGAACACCTGTACGTGTACACAGTCGCGAACACCCGTACGTGTACACAGTCGCGAACACCTGTACGTGTACACAGTCGCGAACACCCGTACGTGTACACAGTCGCGAACACCCGTACGTGTACACAGTCGCGAACACCCGTACGTGTACACAGTCGCGAACACCCGTACGTGTACACAGTCGCGAACACCCGTACGTGTACACAGTCGCGAACACCCGTACGTGTACACAGTCGCGAACACCTGTACGTGTACACAGTCGCGAACACCTGTACGTGTACACAGTCGCGAACACCCGTACGTGTACACAGTCGCGAACACCCGTACGTGTACACAGTCGCGAACACCCGTACGTGTACACAGTCGCGAACACCCGTACGTATACACAGTCACATAAGTGTATAAACATCATCACTCAGACGTTTAGAACGAAGTGAAAGAACGAATATATGTTGTGGTTGGAACATGGCGAGACTCAGACCGTTGGATCCAAGATGGCGGGGGATCATATACCTTGTATACACGCGTATATACATATAGTATACACAGACATACATACATATACCTTGTATTCATACATATACCTTGTATACACGCGACGCAACATATATATCTCTAGTATACACACAGACATACATACATATACCTTGTATTCATACATATACCTTGTATACACGCGTATATACATATATATCCCTAGTATAAACACACACATACATATACCTTGCATTCATACATATACCTTGTATACATACATATACCTTGTATAGACACATATACATATACCTTGTACACACACATATACCTTGTACACACACATATACATATACCTTGTACACACACTGTAATGCATCTTAGACCAAGGTTCGAATCTTAAAGCTCTTCATAAAAATATATAAATATCTAGTTGTGTGTTCATCGGCAGGAAAAAGTTTTAATGATATTTTCGAATTGAAGACAATTTTTTTTTTTTTGTTGAATGATGAATATGTCTTAAACACCGTGTGGCAATTACCTTGCCAATTCCGCCATTATAATTCTAATTAACGGTGCCTAAATTAAAATCATTACACGTTAGTATTCAAGGCATATTTCTTGCTTCTAATTTGGTATAAATAAATACCATCTTCTTTAAAACGATGTCCGTCTTCATCACCCAATTTCGTCCATCTTTATCAGATTCGCCGAGCCATTAATGTAAGTGTGAAGGTCAACACTGTACATCTGGTATTAGATGCCTACAATATCTCCCATTCAATATGCTTATAGTATCTATCCTGCTATACTGTTCCAATATCAATCATTTTGCATGGTATTAAAAACGACAATTAGTCTAGATAATTTATTATTTTTTGAAGCATAATGGTATATACATTGCAGTGGTATATACATACATACTGGGTGAGTATACATGACGGTATATACAGTGGAAGGCCAGGGTGAGTATACATGGGGGTTTATACAGTTGAAGGCCAGGGTGAGTATAAATGATGGTATATACAGTGGAAAGCCAGGGTGAGTATCCATGATCTTATATACAGTGGAAGGCCAGAGTATACATGATGGTATTAGGAGTGTTGATGAATATATGAATATACCACATGTATCACAGAACTAATCTTCATTGTGGGCAACCTCAGTGGCGCCACACTGTTGAGGTGGGCTACGTGGTGTGCCCACACTGTGATGTGGGCTACGTGGTGCCCCCACACTGTTGAGGTGGGCTACGTGGTGCCCCCACACTGTTGAGGTGGGCTACGTGGTGTGCCCACACTGTTGAGGTGGGCTAAGTGGTGTACCCACACTGTTTATGTGGGCTATGTGGTGTGCCCACACTGTTGAGGTGGGCTAAGTGGTGTACCCACACTGTTTATGTGGGCTATGTGGTGTGCCCACACTGTTGAGGTGGGCTACGTGCTGCGCCCACACTGTTGAGGTGGGCTAAGTGGTGTACCCACACTGTTTATGTGGGCTACGTGGTGTGCCCACACTGTTGAGGTGGGCTACGTGCTGCGCCCACACTGTGAGGTGGGCAGCACGGTATAAATATTGCTGAATTAACACATTGATCACTGCGCTTGATTTCAGTATACATACAATCTACGACCGCCATTCGTTAAAGTATCTATATTATCTAAAGATATTATCACTGGTAGGGAAACTTAACAATGATTTTGATTGCAAAAATTCTCACATTAGGCTGTATTTGGCAAGGCACAATCACGGTGAGAAATACCACGGATTAGGGTTAGGGGGGAGACTTTCCTAGTGTAACTTCGTTCACTGGTTTGCTATTTTTCACTCGGTGGATATATATGTTCTGCGATTTTCTGAGCATATTTCAATTAAATACCTATATGCATCACATAGATTTTTTTGGTTTCCATCAATTTATCAAAAGTCTGCCGTTTTGTACATATCGCAAATTATTCGCTCGATGGGAATGGCCCCGATAGTTCTCCTGAAGAAGAGCTCCTCGATGGTGCGGCAGCCGACGGCCCGCAGCGACGGCAGGAGCAGCAGCAGCTTCCCGAACCTGCGGGAGAAGTTTAAGTATGTTTATTGAGGTAAGAAAGAAATACATCTCAAAGGGATAGAGTAGCTTAGGCTATTTCTACCCCCCCCCCCCCCTCTCCTGCGGGAGAAGAGGTCCCTTCCTGGTTACTATGATGTGATAATACGTCTATTTAGACGTTGAGATGTAAGCAGGCGATGAGTCACAATAACGTGGCTGAAGTATGTTGACCAGACCACACACTAGAAGTTGAAGGGACGACGACGTTTCGGTCCGTCCTGGACCATTCTCAAGTCGATTGTGATGAGGACAGGTAGGGACGCAATAAATAGGCAAGAGAGAGCTGAGGAGGAAAGTAAGGTGTAGGGGATAGTAGTAATAATGAGAACTGCAGAAGGCCTATTGGCCCATACGAGGCAGCTCCTATTATAACCACCGAAGGAGATAGTAATAGAAATAAGAAGATAGCAAGGGAGCGTAGGAGAAGACAATGAACAGAAAAAAGGGAGAAGTGAGAAAGAAAAGGAAATCGTCCCTTCAACTTACAGTTGAGATGTAAGTCTCGTCCTTATCACGCACACTCAGACCAATAGAAGCCTAACACGTATATACATTGGCTGCCTGTCCCCCCCCCCCCCCCCCCCGATACAATGAATTATCATCATTAGTTTTAGATGAATTGTATATTGGAATTTTTATCAATAACTACGTATATTGGCCAAGCATAACCATTATTGATAATGACCAAATATAACCCTTACAGATCATACATGTTGATAAATACTTTTACATAAGTATACTTACATAAACACTTATCGTATAATTAAAATGTTCTTATTAAAAAAAATAACTCTTATATAATGACAAAATTAATTTGATACTGATCATAGATGATTAACAAAACAAGTTTAAGGATTTTAAATTTGTTTACAGATAAATGTAAATGATAATGAATATTTACATTATTATTCAAATGATGTTTGAAAGAAGTGGAAAATCTTTATAACATTCTAGTGCAGTATCTGCTGATAATGACCTGACCTCGACCAGCTGACAATGTACTCTTTTATTCACACGCGACTGTCGAGTTATTTACGGATTTCTTGATGTTAAAAACTAGAAAATATTAACGTTTCTCAAACGATTTGTATTTTATTTTCAATATATTGTAGTATATTTATTTATTTATATAATTTGTACGTATTGTTATATATTACTGATATTGTTATATACATCAGTACAGAGCTTAACACTATCGGGCTAAAATTAGTGAAAGGATTATGTGGGTTTTTAATTTTTTAAAAGTTTGGTGGTATGTTATAATTCATTTAATTGACCTTGTGGAGGTGTGTGTGGGAAGGGAGGAGAAATACTGGTGGAATGGAATAAGGGAAACGGAGAGGGAATAGAGGCTTTGAGTAGAGGAGAGAGAGACCCATGGCGGCCCTTCTCACCTAAAAATAAATTCATCCTCTATTATCTTGTACATCTTCACTTATACACGTTGTGCAACTATTAATTTTTATTATTATTCAACTGAGCACGAATCACTATTAATTGCTGGCGCAGGCTGGAGACAGCTTCAAACATATAACGTATGATAGACGTATTTGCGGGATTTCTCTTCCAAGACGGTACAAATTACATTATCGACTTCCATTCAGGGAATGGAACTCTAGCTGAAATGCGCAGGAGCGCATATTGAGAGAACCAAGAGGTTCCAATGGTGCCTCACACCGGCCTGCACTCAAGTTTAACTGAACTTAAGAAACATGTTTCATATTAAGTTTACTGTTGTCGTAGACTATATTCTGGCGAAAAGTCCACTCGCCGGTTGGTCAGACTGCTAGTGTGGTGGTCTTGACAACACTCTTGACTAAAGGGATAACTGAAGATTCTAGCGAGTACTGTATAGGGTATGACCTTACCTGAAGGGCAGGTTAAGAGTAGGACCCCACCTAAAGAGCAGGTTAAGAGTAGGACCTTACCTGAGGGGCAGGTTAAGAGTAGGACCCCACCTAAAGAGCAGGTTAAGAGTAGGACCCCACCTAAAGAGCAGGTTAAGAGTAAGACCCCACCTAAAGAGCAGGTTAAGAGTAGGACCCCACCTAAAGAGCAGGTTAAGAGTAGGACCCCACCTAAAGGACAGGTTAAGAGTAGGACCTTACCTGAAGGGCAGGTTAAGGGTAGGACCTTACCTAAAGAGCAGGTTAAGAGTAGGACCTTACCTGAAGGGCAGGTTAAGAGTAGGACCTTACCTGAAGGGCAGGTTAAGAGTAGGACCCCACCTAAAGGGCAGGTTAAGAGTAGGACCCCACCTAAAGGGCAGGTTACCTGAAGGGCAGGTTAAGGGTAGGACCTTACCTGAAGGGCTGTGTAGGGTAGGCGGAGGTGATGTACTTGTTGAGAGTGAGCTGAGCCTGGTCCTGGAGGGCGGTGACGGCCGGCAGGTCGCGGAGCACCTTCACCTCCACCCCGCCACTCTCCCACACTGACCCAACAACAACACCTTCATCATTAGTCTCACCCAAAATGTTATTATAAATTCAGCTACTCGAAACAAAAGTTCCAAAGTAGCACGGGCTATGGTGAGCCCGTTGTGGACTTACCTGGCACAGGAGCGGGGCTGTAACTGGTCGTTACCCAGAAGTGTACTCTAGTACATATAATTGCCAAATGAATGTCCTCAACTGATTTATATATATATCTCAATGTAAACTAAATATCCCAAGAATATTACTGTCAATGTTAACTTGGGATTGATTCCTTCAAGAGACACTTTAAGAGGTTGTGGTCGGTGTTAGTACCTGTCTTAAAGAGGACGATGGCCTTGAGGCAAGCGTACTCTGTGGGATCCACACACATGGTCTTGAACTTGGTGAGAATGTCTTGGAAGAGCTTGATGTCCTGGAGTATGGGAAGGAGGCGTTCGGAGGTGTCGCTGCCGAGGCCGCAGGAGGCCAGGAGAGGTCCGGCCTCCACGGGCAACAAGAACTGGGCGGCGGAGAGCACGAACAGCTCTCTCCAGCCTTCCTCCAAGAGCAATAACTGCAACAGGAAATACAAGTTATTTATAAATGTGCAATTTATGGCTCGGTTGGCATTGTTTACATGCGTGCGTGTGTGTGTGTGTGTGTGTGTGTGTGTGTGTGTGTGTGTGTGTGTGTGTGTGTGTGTGTGTGTGTGTGTGTGTGTGTGTGTGTGTGCTGTGGACACATTTGTTTAACACTTAGCAACTCTGTTTTACATTTTGAATAAAGCTGTACTGCAAATATCTGTAATCTTATAAAGAGGTTAAGACAGACGTCTATAAGAACGTGAATACAGCCATGCACACACACACATACACACACACATACATATGTCAACATACACACCCAATCCTCCCTTCTCACACACACCTAGGCTCTCCCCCACACACACCTGGGCCCCCCCCCCACACACACACACCTGTACCTGAGCGCGAGCGCACAAAAAGACATATAAACCTAGCCCCCCCACACCTGGCCCCCCCCCACACACCTGGCCCCCCACACACACCTGGTCTCTGAAGGGCAAGGCCGTGTAGGCAGGCAGTTGCTTGGCCCAGCGGACGTTCATGAAGAGGAGGCGGGCGGCGGTCTCACACACGGTGTCCCTCGCCGTCATGAGCGGGAACGCCAGCTCGTGTGGGTACTGTCACGATATAAACTCCGTTAGAACCGAGCAAAGTTCAGAAAAGTCCAATGGTCTAGGCAAGACCATTGGACTTTTCTGTCCATGACCAACCACATGCATATAACACATTCTTCTATCTATCTAACACTTAGAACACTCCGGCGGTCCCACGTCTATTTTATAACCCGGTAATTAGATATTGTCCAAAGTTGGAATTGATAAAGCATGTCCGTGTTCACTTACGAAGCCTGTTCATCTCCTAGATCATGGCAGCGTTCAGTCTCTTTACATGAAACAGTTGACGAGTGTTGGAACTTTACAACACAAACTTTATTGGTGTAGACAACCTTAGGAGCTTTCCGGAGCTTATACACCGTTTGATATAAATAAACTCTGCTGCCATGATTGAGGAAGGACGCACAGTTTCGTTAGTGGATACTTTAATGTTTGATTAATCCCGGCCCAGAAATTATATATACAGTATACTATTTATAGATTTATTTATATACAAGAAGGTACGTTGGGTTTATGAGGTTACATTGCATTGATGTTTTTACATTCTTGTAAACCACTAACACGCATAGCTATTGTTTATTATAGAGTAAGAACCGGAGTGAGTACTGTAAGCAATAACAATCAGCGTGACCAGTTAACTGAATACATTCAGCTGATCTGGAGTATAACCATGACATAAATGTCACTGACCTTGGGTGTGGGAGCCAGTAGAGTGTTGGCTCTGGTGGTGAGGGCGTGAACACGGTCCAGGGTGAGGGCTGTCAGCTCCGCCGGCGGCGGCCGGTGCAGTTCCAAGTGGGCGGCGCTGCTGGCGGCCGTCGTAGGCAGGTGGCGAGGCGGAAAGGACATTTTCAGATCGAGAGCCGATGGCACAGGTGGAGGATGGTGGAAGGGCAGGGCCAGGGCGGCACTGACGGCAACGGTTGGCACTTGGGTGACGGGGGACCGGGGGTGGCTTGGCTCCGGCGGGGTGGGACTCCGTTGGCGCTGGGGAGGCGACTCCGGGCTTGGGTCCTTGAAGTAGAGGGACATTTGCCGCCGCAAGGTGGAGTTCCTGGGCCCCCGCTCGTGCTGTACGGCTGCAGGTTTAAAGACAAAGTAGATAGATATCAATCGAAAATAAACAAGAACCAAGACATAACATATAGCCTTCGTGTACACATTCGCACGGATCAGATTTAGAATTCTATGATTCTGATGACAGAGGCGTTTTGGTAGACGAGGCATTATGAGACGGTATAGACGGAAGGGGAGTAATTAACTGAATCGAGTCATCAGGAGAAGTGAGGCATGAGGGAAGGTGAGGCATCAGGAGAAATGAGGTATGAGGGCAGCGCAGCACCTTCTTGCCCCTCAACCGCACACAGCAACACGACGGCTGGTAGGTGGGGGGAAGGGGGGGGGGTGAGAGCCCAGCGAAAGTAATATTTGTACTCCTCATCCTCCCTTTTATTGCATTTTTTGTTGCACCTCTCTTGCAGTTTTTATTGCACGAGAATGTTAATTCCGTGCGAGGTGCTGTACTCACCAGCTTCAGAAATATACTCCCTCAGAGTGGTGGGGGAGGCCTCAGAGTGGTGGGGGAGGCCTCAGAGTGGTGGGGGAGGCCTCAGAGTGGTGGGGGAGGCCTCAGAGTGGTGGGGGAGGCCTCAGAGTGGTGGGGGAGGCCTCAGAGTGGTGGGGGAGGCCTCAGTGTGGTGGGGGAGGCCTCAGAGTGGTGGGGGAGGCCTCAGAGTGGTGGGGGAGGCCTCAGAGTGATGGGGGAGGCCTCAGAGTGGCGGGGGAGGCCTCAGAGTGGCGTGGGAAGCCTCAGAGTGGTGGGGGAGGCCTCAGAGTGGTGGGGGAGGCCTCAGCGTGGTGGGGGAGGCCTCAGAGTGGTGGGGGAGGCCTCAGTGTGGTGGGGGAGGCCTCAGAGTGGTGGGGGAGGCCTCAGAGTGGTGGGGGAGGCCTCAGAGTGGTGGGGGAGGCCTCAATGTGGTGGGGGAGGCCTCAGTGTGGTGGGGGAGGCCTCAGAGTGGTGGGGGAGACCTCAGAGTGGTGGGGGAGGCCTCAATGTGGTGGGGGAGGCCTCAGTGTGGTGGGGGAGGCCTCAGTGTGGTGGGGAAGCTCTCAGTGTGGTGGGGGAGCTCTCGGTGTGGTAGATCTCTCGGTGTGGTGGTGGGCGTCACTGCCTTCCCTGATAATGGCGCCCACCGCGTAACATGACCCGGATTCAGACCCCGACCACTTACCCTCGATTATTATGCTGTCACGGGAGAGGCGTGTCCCAAACGTTGCCTCGACAACCATCCCCCCCCCCACCCTCCCTTCTGCCCTCTCCCGTCCCTTCCATCCCTCCATCCCTTAGCACCTTCAGCCACGACTGCAGTTGTTGATGCCTCAAGATCCATTACAAAATGCCTGCCAGCGGTCCACGGTGTCCTCGACTCCTTGCCTTCGTCACCCGCGCGGCAGCGCAGGAGTTGCCAGAGGCATCATCGGGAGGAGTTGCAGGAGGCTCTGAGTCCTTAATGGAGTGGGGTTGGGGGGGGGGGGAGCGGCCGATGGGGGGAGCTGCTGCTCTCTTAACGGTCGCCCGGCGGGAATCGTAGGGAAGGTGGGGAGGGACTGGGGGAGGCGCTCCACGACCGCCAAATGCGAGAGCATCAGTAGGAGAGATACACAAAAGATAGGTACGAACACATAGAACGAACACACATACACACACACACACACACACACACACACACACACACACACACACACACACACACACACACACACACACACACACACACACACAGAACAGAAAAGAAAATCAACGTCACACTGTCTTTCTGGATTGTCTGAAGGCATTTGTTAGGGGGAAATCAGCAGAGAGCTAAAAGAGACCAGAGAGTATCACTGATGGGAACCAGAGAGTTAGTGAGGTGACGTCTATGCCTCAAGAGTGGTGAGAAGCCACAAGTGGAGTACCAGAGACTGTACTTATCCTGATACACACAACCTGAGTGAGGCAGCTGATGCGTTCATGTCTATGTTTGTGGACGATGCTGAATCATTGCAGATAAAACTCACGAAGGTCGTAAAGAGATGCAGTGACTTGCATACGGTTCAGGGAGGGTTGGAGACACGGGTACTAGACTTCAACGCAAATTAATGCAAGGTGATGAAAATTGGGGGCAGGAGGAAGGACCATCAAATGGTGGTGGCGATGATGACTGTTACGTGGTGGCGGGGTGGAGGAGCGTCACGTGGTGGCGGGGTGGAGGAGCGTCACGTGGTGGCGGGGTGGAGGAGCGTCACGTGGTGGCGGGGTGGAGGAGCGTCACGTGGTGGCGGGGTGGAGGACCGTCACGTGGTGGCGGGGTGGAGGAGCGTCACGTGGTGGCGGGGTGGAGGAGCGTCACGTGGTGGCGGGGTGGAGGAGCCTCACGTGGTGGCGGGGTGGAGGAGCGTCACGTGGTGGCGGGGTGGAGGAGCGTCACGTGGTGGCGGGGTGGAGGAGCGTCACGTGGTGGCGGGGTGGAGGAGCCTCACGTGGTGGCGGGGTGGAGGAGCGTCACGTGGTGGCGGGGTGGAGGAGCGTCACGTGGTGGCGGGGTGGAGGAGCGTCACGTGGTGGCGGGGGTCGAGGAGCGTCACGTGGTGGCGGGGTGGAGGAGCGTCACGTGGTGGCGGGGTGGAGGAGCCTCACGTGGTGGTGGGGTGGAGGAGCGTCACGTGGTGGCGTGGGTCGAGGAGCGTCACGTGGTGGCGGGGTGGAGGAGCGTCACGTAGTGGCGGGGTGGAGGAGCGTCACGTGGTGGCGGGATGGAGGAGCCTCACGTGGTGGCGGGGTGGAGGAGCGTCACGTGGTGGCGGGGGTCGAGGAGCGTCACGTGGTGGCGGGGTGGAGGAGCGTCACGTGGTGGCGGGGTCGAGGAGCGTCACGTGGTGGCGGGGGTCGAGGAGCGTCACGTGGTGGCGGGGGTCGAGGAGCGTCACGTGGTGGCGGGGTCGAGGAGCGTCACGTGGTGGCGGGGGTCGAGGAGCGTCACGTGGTGGCGGGGGTCGAGGAGCGTCACGTGGTGGCGGGGGTCGAGGAGCGTCACGTGGTGGCGGGGGTCGAGGAGCGTCACGTGGTGGCGGGGTCGAGGAGCGTCACGTGGTGGCGGGGGTCGAGGAGCGTCACGTGGTGGCGGGGTCGAGGAGCGTCACGTGGTGGCGGGGTCGAGGAGCCTCACGTGGTTGCGGGGTCGAGGAGCGTTACGTGGTGGCGGGGTCGAGGAGCGTCACGTGGTGGCGGGGGTCGAGGAGCGTCACGTGGTGGCGGGGGTCGAGGAGCCTCACGTGGTTGCGGGGTCGAGGAGCGTCACGTGGTGGAGGGGGTCGAGGAGCCTCACGTGGTTGCGGGGTCGAGGAGCGTCACGTGGTGGCGGGGTCGAGGAGCGTCACGTGGTTGCGGGGTCGAGGAGCGTCACGTGGTGGCGGGGTCGAGGAGCGTCACGTGGTGGCGGGGTCGAGGAGCGTCACGTGGTGGCGGGGGTCGAGGAGCGTCACGTGGTTGCGGGGTCGAGGAGCGTCACGTGGTGGCGGGGGTCGAGGAGCGTCACGTGGTTGCGGGGTCGAGGAGCGTCACGTGGTGGCGGGGGTCGAGGAGCCTCACGTGGTGGCGGGGTCGAGGAGCGTCACGTGGTGGCGGGGGTCGAGGAGCCTCACATGGTTGCGGGGTCGAGGAGCGTCACGATGTGGCGGGGGTCGAGGAGCGTCACGTGGTGGCGGGGTCGAGGAGCGTCACGTGGCGTTAGGCTGAAAGTGCGGCTGTACCAACACTTCAGACTCCATGGTACACATTACGTACCCCCGCCCGCTCCCACGGGACCCTCACCCCTCGCTAGTTACCCCCCTCCACCCCCCCACACACACCGTCACCCCCTCCACCCCACACCGTCACACACCCACACCATCATCCCCCCCCCCCCCCCCCTCCCTCCATACTGTCACACCCAGCAAGAAATGTTGCTGGAAGACTTTATTTACATCACTCGACACGGACGGAGTGGGTTGGTGGTTCGTGGAATCAAAGGGTAACAAAGACTTAACTTTGTGGAGGTGGGTGTGAAGACCCTCTGGACCAAAATTCATCAAGGTTTTGCGTGGCCAGTACGAAACCTGTACATCTTTACTCATTCATGTTGGCCTTGTATTTATTAAACTGTTTGCGAGCTTCGAAATTTCCGCGTGAAAATTTATATTGTTATAGACAACCTCGCAGTTCATTAACTTTGAAAAATGTGAACTTAGCCGCCATGACTGAGAAAAAATGCTAGGGTTCCGTGAATGGACGCGCAAAGGCTAGTGACTCCTGGTCTAGGGCTACATCATGAATAAGTATAGACTATGGATGACTGGTTGTGTACATGACTGGTGAGTAAGAGAACTAACCATCCTTGTTCATGCCGGCCTGGATGCACTTGGTGAGTCTGCAGGCCCGGCACTGGTTGCGGTGGGTCTTGTCCACCACACACCCGCCCTCCACCTTGCTCTTGCACACGTACTGCCTCTGGCGCCGGATCGACCTCTGTGGGGCGGGGAGAGAGAGAAAAGTGTGTCCAGCTTTATCTTACAACGTCACTAGCAGGAGCCTGGGTTAAGCCAGTATGATTATATAGCACATGGGAGGACATGGGGACAAGCAACTGGGATATGAGGACAAGGTGAAGGATCCCGGGAATACAGTCGAGTTCGTTCTCGACTCACAATCGGGAATTCCGGGTTCGCATCCCGGGCGGAACAGAAATGGTTGGACGCGTTACCTATCTCCCCAGTGCCCCTGTTCACCTAGCAGTAAATAGGTATACCTAGAAATTAAGTCAGCTTGTTGGGTTGCATCCTAGGAAGAGGGGGACCTCGATATAAGCCTAACCTGTATATATACACTGGCTGCCTGTCCCCCCCCCGACACAATGAACGCCGACCCTGCAAGCTACGAGACCCTTGCTATAGCGACCAGTCCAACTGGCCGGGGTGGAAGTTATAGCTAATGAGAGATAAGCAGGTGCAGGGGGTGGGGGAGGGGCTGGCCAGCTGTGATACCTGCTAAGTAGATGGTACTAGAGCTTCGTTACTCTCTAAATACGATTAAAGGAGATAATAATTCAACGTTTACAGGGACGAGCGATGTGTGATACAGTGTGATAAGAGTTAGGACTTACCTTAAAGAAGCCAGCACAGCCGTCGCAGGCGAAGATGCCGTAGTGCTTGCCGGAGGAGTGGTCCTGACACACCTTGCAGGGAATGTCGTACAGGATCCGGCCTGTCGGAGGAACGTCAGTCACAATCACAAACATTATTCGTACCCACGTGTACAAATCATCACAATAATGGCTGGACTAAACAGGTGTTCAACACTCTAAATCAAACTTACATTTTTTTGGACATAAGGTGAGTTACATTTAGCTTACAATTTGAAAGGTGAGATACAGGTATATTGAGGAAATCAGTGAAGTTTATCGTTAACACAAATTATATCGCAATATTAGGGTGATTATATTCTTATTCTAATTGTCTAAACTAATCTTTGTTACTTAATAAATCTTGCTCATGTTTAATACAAATATGTAATTATCTAAAACACTTTCCATATGGATACATGCAGGCACGCACACGAACTCTCGCCAGTTCATTGGGTGAGCCTAGTACACAAACTGAAGGATTTTAAAGATATTGTTTATTTTAGTTTTTAAAATTTTAGCTTAGGAGGCGAGAGGAACGAGTCTCCACAACAGATTATATAGGGACCAGCGTTTTCTAATTTATATATTTTTATACCTTTGTGTATTTTGCACTTGTATATATCAAAGAAACTTTTGTACCCTGAATGACAGACAGCCTACGGCAGAGCGTTCTTACACGGGCACTTCTGACTTGACAGATTACAGTGGAGTGTGTTTATATGAACCATTTGTGTAACGGCCTTCAGTGAAATGTGTTTATTTGGAGTGTGTGAGTGATGGTCTTTACGAGGGACATATTTAAGTGCTTTAGTCCAATTTGAGTAACAGTTTAAGAGTCACTGACTGGAACTATATTATTAACAAGGCGGGTTTTAGGAGCACGCGTTCGACCTTGAAAGCACATGTACGTGAGTAAATCTTGGTGAACGAACACACACACACACACACACACACACACACACCTAAGTGAGGAGGCTTTTAGGGCGCTTTACACTGCCTACGTGAGACCAGTCTTAGAGTATGCCGCGCCATCATGGAGCCCCCACCTGAAGAAACACAAGGAAACTAGAGAAGGTTCAGAGGTTTGCGACGAGGCTTGTCCCAGAGTTACGAGGGATGGGATATGAAGAACGTCTGAGGGAACTGAACCTTACGACACTAGAGAAAAGAAGGGAGAGAGGAGATATGATAGGAACATATAAAATACTCAGGGGAAATGACAAACTGGAAATAGATGAAATGTTCACACGTAATAATAACAGAACGAGGGGACATGGGTGGAAACTGGATACTCAGATGAGTCACAGAGATGTTAGGAAGTTTTCTTTTAGCGTGAGAGTAGTGGAAAAATGGAATGCACTTGGGGAACAGGTTGTGGAAGCAAACTCTATTCATACTTTTAAAATTAGGTATGATAGGGAAATGGGACAGGAGTCATTGCTGTAAACAACCGATGGCTAGAAATGCGGGATCCAAGAGCCAAGCTCGATCCTGCAAGCACAAATAGGTGAATACACACACACACACACACACACACACACACACACACACACACACACACACACACACACACACACACACACACACTGTCTCCTGAAGCCCACATAAAAAGAATTACGTCTGCGGCATATGCGAGGCTGGCTAACATCAAACAGCCTTCAGGGACCTGTGCAAGGAATCATTCAGAATCTTGTATACCACATACGTAAGACCAATCCTGGAGTATGCGGCCCCAGCATGGAGCCCGAACCTTGTTAAGCACAAGGCGAAGATGGAAAAAGTTCAGATGTATGCCACTAGACTAGTCCCAGAACTAAGAGGCATGAGTTACGAGGAAAAGCTGCGGGAAATGCACCTTACGACACTGGAAGACATAAGAGTAAAGGGAGACATGATCACTACCTAGAAAATCCTCAGGGGAATTGACAAAGATAACAGGTAGACAAAGATAAACTATTCATGACCGGTGGTATGCGAACAAGGGGACACAGGTGGAAACTGAGTACC